ATAAGACTAGAAGACCTCTGAACTTCTTTCCAATGCTTTGTTTTTACGATTCTATGATTTTTATATTTCAAAAACAGCTCTACTCACCGCCTTCCAAGCTCAGGAACTATGTCAAAAACCTGTCTGAAACTGAAAGTATTAACATGAGCAGAAGAATAGAAAGAAGCATTTCCTCTCCCTCTTGCAATTCTTGCTTGATCGAGTTGCTATCAGAGCCAGAATGAGTTGGATTGAAAGGCAATTCATTTGACATTTATAGTGCTGTAGGAAAAAATGTAGTTGGATAGGCCTAAGCTGGAATTGAGAGAGTGGTCCTTGTGATTTCAGCGGTAATGAACAGCCATCAAGGTTAATGGCTATTGATAAAGCAATGCTTCATAAAGTTGTCCAATCACCTTTCAAAAGGGTGGCCATCATCTCATTTTATGGCAATCAATTCCACTGTTCAATTATGTATTCTATTCTAGTTCGGGCACAATCTCCCCTAATTAGTATTAATCAGGCCCCCAAGTTCAAACATTGTGAAGGAAGAAATAACCTCCTCCCCATTCCAATTCTCCATACCTTGCTTGAAATTTTGATTGACACAGAAGTGGAAAATTGTGAACTGTGGGGGATAATCATGGTAGGATTGGATGAGCACAGTGGTAAGCTTTGTCCTAGTTCCTCTTACTGGCCCTATCTGCATTTTGGAGGTAGGTTCAGCAGGCCTCAATCAAGAATCAAAGAGACTGATTGAATAGAACAAGGTTGTATTGAGTACTGTTAGTCAACCTCACCATCTTTAAGATGTGTGGATTTCAACTCCCAGGATTCCCCAGCCAGCATGTTCCTCAGGCACGATCCCCAAACCAGGAATTGAAGTTCTTATTGTGGTTGAGAAACACAACTCAAGAACTTTTCCATCCTTGTGGCTGCCACAACCAGTTGCAACACTCATATACTATAAGGTAAAAGTTCCCCTCACACATAGGTGCTAGTTGTTCCCGACTCTAGGGGGCAGTGCTCATCTCCATTTCAAAGCCAAAGAGTCAGTGTGGACCACAACGTCTCCGTGGCCATGTGGCCAGCATGACTCAACGCCAAAGGTGCACAGAATGCTGTTACCTTCCCACTGTTCTGACCTAAGCTTCCTGAGAAAGCATAAATCACAATCTTAGTCCCAAAAACCCTCTTTTATATATACGCCTGTGGATTATGGTCATTCATAGTCTGCACTGCTTCACAAACAGTCTGTGAAGATTCCAATAGATATCTGCTCAAGTTGCCACAGTCTTTCAGGGGAATATTGATAAACACGTACCTTATCTCCCTTGGAATGCTGCCAGAGACCTAATTGCCAAATACAGAGCAAAGCCAAAGTCAAACAGAACTTTTCAAACCTTGAACTGACCAGATGAACTAATTGCTTCCTGCAAAAGCTCATGTCCCATTTGCTCCTCTTTTATGTCTTATGGGAGGTGCAAATCATCTCCAAGCTTTACTCCCGAGTTGACTCTGTTTTCTTAATTGTTCTTACCTTCTGGCAGCTCTGCGCATGTGCATACTGAGAACAGGCTCCTTCTGTTCTTCCGTTTTGCTGATGTCAGTCTCCGAGGCTCCAGAGGTTTCGGGGGCAGCCAATGACTACCAGATGGCCTTGGCCCCTCTCTGCCTCCAACGCAGAGCCCTTGTTAAAGCCTTCATCTCACGCCAGAACTAGCCCATGTTCCTCCCCAACCTCCTCACTGTCCGACTCTATATATATTCAATATATAGTATACCTTCAATATAGTATACGGTTGTGGCCCAGCAGGATTCGGTTGAGCCGCTGATGGACTCGGATAGTGAGGAACCATATAAGTCTGCCCTGGATGATGTGGAGGACCTTGGGCAGGGTTCAGACTCAGAGCAGAGACCAGAGAGGCTGGTTGGCCACCAGGAGGTGCCTGAAGCATGGAGCAGTGGGGAGGATCAAATGCAGTTTGTCCCTCATGCTAGATTGAGAAGGACTGAGAAACGGAAGCAGCAACTCCGTAGGCAGACTCACAGAAGATGATTAAGCACAGGTGGTTGTTGATTGCCCCCTCCCAAGAGAGATTATAGGTGAGGCATTGGGAGGGGACATTTGCAGGAAACAACCGTTCAAATTAGTACTTAAGAAAATCTATCTGTGTATTCTAGCCGTGTCTGTTCATATCTGCGTTGCTTCGTTTGAACTATCTGGGGTGCTGTAGAGCTACCCTATTGAATGTGAGTTGCCTGGGCCCTCAGTCAAAGAATTTGTTATCTCAGTAATTGAACAGTGGCAAACAGCCAAGCCTGTGTTCTGGTTTATTCACAGGCCGGGGGGTCAGAACAGTATACTATATATCCGGGATGGTGAACCCATTTGTCAGGGCACAGGAGGCGTTGCCCTGTCAGTTGGCCAGTGCACATGCATGCACTGGCCAGCTGACTTTGGCCTTTTTTTGAGACCGTTTTTCGCCCTCCCCAGGCTCCAGAGTCACTTCCGGTTTGTCTGTAGGGCCGTTTTTCTTCCTCCGGAGCCTTCAGGGAAGTCTCCTGAAGGTCCCTGAAGGCTCCGGAGGACTAAAACTGGCCCTACGAGCAAACCAGAAGTCAGTTCCTGAACTTCCGGTTTGCCTGTAGGTCTGGGTTTTTGCACTCAAGAGGCTTCAGGGAAGCTCCTGAACCGTCCGGAGGGCCTCCGGGGGCATGGGGGAGTCTGTTTTCGCCCCCCCTGGCTCCTATAAAGCCTCTGAAGCCTTGGGAGGGTGAAAAAGGCATACTAAAATGTGTGAGGGACTGGTCATGTGTGCATGCACACTGGGGTTGTGTGCATTGCATTATAGGTGTGGCATGCCCGTGCATGACCCCCCCCCCTGTGCTCCCCCACTTTTGGCACGCGAGCCAAAAATGTTTCTCCATCACTGCTATATATGCTATAGTATACCTTCAAACCTGGCACTTGTTGTGGATAAAGAACTTGTAGAAATATGTATAGTTGTAAAATTGGGTGCAATTCACTTAGCAATTGCCTTTCTTAGCCATGGAAATTTTTTTTTCAGTTATGATCCTAAGTCAAGGATGTATATGCAATTAAATTGCATGCCCTGGTTGAATCCTCTTATTGCCACAAAGCACATTCAATTAATCTATCAACCACAGAGTTGGATGCCTCCTTCAACAGCTCTAGCTCTTTGACCTTGAATCATGGAGGCTCTTGGTAATGACTCCAAATTCTATAATGTCTTTGATAAATACCGCAGCTATTTATTCTGTTTGCAAAGGGAGTTGGGTTTATTTATTTATTTTTAATGGAAGGCTCAAAGCCTATTCTGGGAAGCCAGGCCCACGTGCCTCTGCAAATGTTAGCAATATGATGTACCAATGACAAAGCTGTAAAGCATACCTACTACAACCCCGAAGTGGCTTTCATCAAACTCTTCCCAATCAATACCACACTAAACATAATCCAAACCACAAGGGATAAAGAAGAAATTGATCAAGCTCACTTAGGAAATGGGGCTAAAAATAAAGATTATGGTTTGATACCACATTGAGAAGGTCTTTGCCCTTTCTAAATTCACATGCCTGCGGACAGGCATAAACCCAAACAAACAGAAAGGGGGAAGCTGGGCAGCCACGAAGAGTCTGTGTCTCCGGGAAAGTGCTGTTTAGTTGAAAAGTTAGCGCAAGAGGAGGATTTTTTTTTTGCTGCATTTCTCATCAGAAGTTTATCACAAGATGCTCCAGGCAGTCCCCGATTTATGACCACAATAGGGATTGAAACTTCCACTGCTAAGCAGGAAGGCCATTAAGTGAGTTGCATCCAATTTCATGACTTTTCTTTCCACAGTCATTAAATGAATTCACTGCAGCTATTAAATGAAACACGCTCTACATGGGGCTGCCCTTGAAGAGTGTTCGAAGAGTCCAGCTGGTCCAGAATGCAGCCGCGCGAGCGATCGTGGGTNCACACACACACACACACACACACACATTGGTTATTCAGGTTTTCTCCCGCGTAAAATTGGAGGTGTCTTGGCGACGTTTCGACGAAGTCTCATTTGTCATCTTCAGGCTTGGTGCTTCCAGGAGCAATGTGAGGTCTCGGCTGTTTCTTCCTTTTAACTGCCAGTCAGGGTTTGAGCTGATTGGGTGGGAGCTTGGCTGTGTTCTGATTGGTTGGGGGTTTGTGTTTCATGTAAGGATAGGAGGGGTTTAAAGTGGCTAATGGTGCAGTTGCGGTCTGGCTTCTGGTCCTTGGTCGTGCGTTATCATCAGTGTGGGTTTTTGTCTGCTTTCTTTGTGGATGTTTGGTGGTGACACTTCCAATTTTACGCGGGAGAAAACCCAAATAACCAAAGACCTACATACTAACACCCGCGAAAACCTCAGAAAAAATAAATAAAGGGATGCACGCATACATATATATAGTGTTGACTCTGATTTCTCATTCAAGAGATGCAAGAATTCAAGGACAGGTAACAAAAGGAACAAGTAGATGATCAAGCTGAGCCCAAGGGTAGGGTCAAAAGCAACATCACTTTGGAATTTGCACCTCCATAAGAGACCTAACTCCAACACCCCTTGAAATCCATTGGCTCTTATCTAGCAGCTATCCACCTTAAAAGTTAGTAGTTCAGTCTTGGATATAGATAGTATGAAATAAACTTGTAATACTTTTGAACTCTATCCTAGCTCTGGACGTCTTGCACCTCACAGAATACATTAGTTTAAGCATCTCAAATTAGTCATGCTAATTTGTTTCCTAATATGACTTTCAAATCTGTCCAACAAGCTTAGGAACTATTTCTATTAGTGATATTCAAAGATCAAATACCTCAAGGAAAGTTTGTTCTATGTAACTGAAACAAGATACACTGAATGTTTAAGAGAATCAGAATTTCTTTACATTAAGAGAGTGGTACTTTCTCTGCCCCCTTCTCTTTGGTATGACTTCATGAATCAGTGGAACTTATTTTACCTGCGCTGTTTCTTCTTCCTGTTTTCGCTTCTGCTCCTCAGTTTCCACTAGCTTTTGTTTCGTCAGGAGCAGTTCCTTATTCAAAACATCTGCTTTATCTTCAGCCTGAGAATTTCAGAGTGACATGGTCTGAGCAATGAGATTCCCTGAATAAGCATGGGCGGTGTAGGCATGGGCCCATAACAATTATATGGACATAGGTGCAAATGGGATCTATCCTTCCCCCAAATTATGGAACTCTGGGGTTGTAAACGATTCTCTATGATACATATATCTATATTGAAAGATCCAAAGCGAACATTTCCAATCTAATTATTATTTTTTTATTCTGCCAGTAGTTAACATATGGAGCAAATTATTTATGCTTATAACATCCAAGCATAACACTTAACTCTGCTTTTTAAATTTAATTGTATTAAGCTTTAAAGTTATCAATTCTGTAAAACTTTTTAATTTTAATATTATATGTAATAATATTGGCTAATATTATTACTAAATAGTAAATGATTATACGCTTTAACAAAGAAGCCATTATATTAAAAATTCCATGTATTGGAGGGGAAAAAGAAAAAAATAATCCTATTATTAAATCCCCTAGATAAGAAAGACAAAAAGGTCCCTAGAAAATAAAGAAATATTATAAAGCAATATTATATTTAATTCTAGTTTAAAGAAGAACCATTTTAAATAAGAAATCAAATAACCGAGGACTACGTTATATGATGCTCCTTAATGTAATCATTACAATCCCACTTTTAAGCAAGTTATATCCAGACCATTTCAAATCACATTTTACAGTCTTCCTCTCCATTGTTCAAAGCTATTTTAGAGGCAGAGATCTGACAATATCTGTTTAGCCAAAGTTTTATTCTGGAACATACCGGTAACCATTCTTCCCTAATCATATTTTCCCCAAGTTGATAAATTCAAATTTCTCCTTTGACAGATATTCCAGAGTTTTTGGACTATGATTAAATACAGCATTAATACATTTAATTTTTAATGGCCTTCCAAGAGCCTTGTTCAGCATAGTGATTTTTTCTAACAATAAGGAATTAAAAGACGACCTACACAAAACTTTCAAATGTATTTTATGTCCAATATAGAAACAATGAGAACCAACCTTTTTAAAGCATTCTTTGAATATAATTCTAAATGTTTTTTGCTCAAGTAATTAAGCTTTTAGGTTATAAGAAATAATTAATGTTATTAAAGCCAGAAACCATTAATTGGGAAGTATAAAATACCCTAATACTCTATTCCAAATGTCTTTCATATTAGCCAAATTTATTTTTCTAATTTTTTATTTTATTGTGTTGCTATTCTGTATTTTTAGATAAACTGTATTCCTTTTGTAAAATCTCAAAAGTTGTAAGAGTTTTGTTACTTAATAGTAGAATAAAAGTAATGATCCCATTTTAAAAAATACATTTTCTCACCCATCTTTAAATAATAGTGCTTCAAAGTCCTAATTTCTCATAAGAGGAAATATCAAATTTGAGTTTTCTGATTAATTAATTGCCTTTAATACTAAAAAAAAACCTGAAATTCTACTGTAATTTGAACCAACAGTTCTCCCAGATTGCAACAGTAGTAGCTGTCTTGCTGAATGCACTAAGTATTCTGTTTATACGTATAACTCAATTTCCACACATAACCAATGCCAAACATTAAGTGATAATTAGGTTTTCTATGTTGGTTTATTTATTACTTTGTTTTACCATTGGACTCTGATTTCCACAGAAATTCAGTTATAGAGGAAGGCTTCATACCTGGTCCAAGTCATTTCGTAGAGCAATTTTGCTTGTTACAAGTTCGTGAGCAAGATCATCATTCTCTTGCTCAAGTCGCATGCTGGCTTCCTGAAGCCTGCGATTCTCCCTCTGCAGAAAAAGAAGAACCAACAAGCAGAAAGTTAAGAGAACAGAGAGAAAAGAGAAGGTGTATCCATTTATACTATAGAAAAGAGGTTTAGAAGTGTTGCTAATTTATTGCATCCATCAAAAGCTAAGCAATTAACGATATAATAATATGCTGCTCATCAGTCAACCAGATTAAGCTCAGGTACTCAATGTTGTCTTGATATTGCATTCTATATGTAAATGTCATCTTTCATTATTCCCATAGATCAGGTAAAATACTTATTTTATCTTGAACACAAAAAGCATTCCATCCATGACATATTATGCCTTGCCTTAAGAAATACCCACAAATAAGGAATATTGTTATGAGTTTACTATGTTCCTACATGCCTTATTCATTGCTGTTAACCCACTTTTTAGATCTTTTTAGACATTNCACTGGCCGGCGGATGGAATTCGGAGGAGGCCTAATCTGTGGAATCTAATCGGTCTAGTGGAGGTAACTGTAAACTGCTTAGAGAGGGCTGAAAGCCCTATGAAGCGGTATATAAGTCTAACTGCTATTGCTATTGCTAAAAATTAAAAATATGTACTGTGAATATGATTCCTCAAGAATTGCATACCTTATCACTGATCTGGAAGGGAAGAATTTGATGGCTCGGGTCTAGTTAATCCAAGTCATACCCAACTCATTCACTCCCAGTTCCTGAGCTATCAAATTACCGAACCAGCTAGACACTCTTCACTTCAGTGGGCTGACTTTAAGCAAATCACAGTTGCCTGACCCCCTACAGTGCAACAATAGCTTGTTTCGGTTTTGGCATCAGCATTATTCACAGGCTGATGAATGGTTCTTCCTAAGCTTCACCAGGTCTTCTCTAATTGATCTGTTGAACATGAAGTAAGGCCGCAAAAGTTGGTGTTACCTAATTACCCTTCAAGTGAACTAAGTCAATTCACTGGGTTTCCAAGAATCCAAGAACAATAAACCTAAAGAACTAACAGAATCCAGAGGGAAGAAATACAGCATTAATTTGAATGAATATTTCTCAGAGAGCTATATTAAGGAAAAGAACTGACTCTTATGGATAATTCGTTCCATTCTTAATTATTTCCTTTCACCTGTCCTGACAGTAGCTGCACTTTGAGCTACTTATCAAGTTGGTTTGTATGTTTTAAACTCCAGATATTAACAATATATAGATAATCTAGGTTGCCTGAAATGTGAAGAAATATCTCCTATTTAACTTATTGCTGCAGATTAAATTCACCTGAATGCAGTCCCTGTAAGCAATGTGGTCAAGGATTTATTATTCTCATTTCGGAAAGGGTGAGTACTTGATCTAATTCTAGGGAAGGTTTATATTTTGCCTCCTGTTTTCTTCACTGCAACCTGTGAACTCATTTTGAATTCAGTGAACCAAATAATAAAAACACACACACACACATTATCCACAGAGATTCCATCGTGGGGAACCTCTGGAGAAAGATGTTGCCATAGCATGTTTATATCACGATTAAGTGCAACCAGATTAAATTGACTGAGTAGATATCAAGAGCAGATTTTAAAAAAAAACAGTTGGATTTTTATGAAAGTAGGATATCATTTAGTCTTGAAAGCCTAACAAAGTAATTTTCCCCACACATCCTTTACCTAGCTTAATTAAACCAGATTTACTTTGAATCTGCTCATGTTCTTGTTAAAAAAACATCTTCTATAATAGGTCTGTTTCCTCCCTTAATTGTCTTCCTGCTCCTTCTATAATCCTGTGGTCTATTAGGCATGTTATCACAGCAGGAGGAAGAGTTTTGACTTTTTTAAAAAAATCTCCATACAAAATTCGTGCACTTATTAGATGTGAAGAAAGAGCTAGATACTCAAAATAACTTTGCCGTTGCCTATTAGCCTTCTGGATTTTGTTCAGCCCAAGTATGATATGTGTAATAATAATACTGTTTCTATTTATTGATAACCTTGTGTTTTTACAGATACAATTTATTTACTCCTAAAGATACTGGGCAACACCCTCCCCTCCAGGTTATAATCACTGAACATCAGTCTGTTCACAATCATGTCTATTCAAGATATAAGATTCTAAATTTTCATTCCTGGGATGGGATATTACAAGAGAACAAGTAGTTGCACATATGTTTACTGAGTCTGTCTTCTAGACAACTATTAAATTAAAGGAGACACATTCTCTTTACCATTTAATTTGTCCAAATCTTCTACAGCCCATCCTCTTGTTAGCCAGTCAAAATCTCCCATAATCTATTGAATAAAAAATGTATAAGGGGGAAAAGGGATTTTTTTGGACTTCTCATTCTCCAAACAGTGCACAGTTTATTTCTAAATTACATTTTTCTTTAACATAAGCACGGACACAGGTGGTTTGATGGCTTTTTAATGTGATACTGAAATATTTGTCCTGTTTCAAACCAAAGCAAATTGTTCCAGCATAAAATATTTGCACTGACCTCTGTAAATATTGTTTCTTCAGTTTCTGTCTGTACAGACCAAGCTTCAGCCTTGAGATTAGATGTTTTAATTCTGCAGACTGGCAGCCATGCATGTAAAACTTTAGGAAATTCGAGGGCAGGTCCTTGAAGCCAGAAAAACATCTCTTCTTAGAAGTGATCTCTCTTGGCAATAATTTCTGTCCCACAAACTTTGCTTGATTTCTCTGAAAGCAGCTATAATAACAGGGACAGAAAATGAAGCAATGAAATTTAGAGTGAAATGGCTGTGCATAGTCTTATTTTTTTCACATTAATTTGCTTTGCAATTAGAGTCAGAATTTGTATTGCTAGGTACCAGAGACACTGGCCTAAAGACCCGAGGTGGCGCAGTGGTTAGGGTGCAGTACTGCAGGCCACTTCAGAGAAATCAAGCAAAGTTTGT